GGATGGGTGTGCGTGTGCTTGTTTCTTTCTTTTTTTTTTTTTTTTTATTTAATTTCTTTTTATGAAAATTTTTTTAAGGAACGACACGCGTGTTACCTAAAAAAAAACATAAAAAAAAAAAAGAAAGAAAGAAAGAAAGAAAGAGGGGAAAGACAAGATTACAAATTAAAAGACGACTGGGGGTGAAGTGGGATATATAGGATGCGTGCGATCGAAGAAGAAGAAGGGGTTAGTTATTGATGGGTAAAAGTAAGAGAGAAAACAAAAAGAAAAGGAAGAGAGACAGAAAGAAAGGAAGGAAGGAAGGAAGGAAACAAAAAAAAAAAGAAAAAGAGATCACAGAATTCTCTGAGGAATTATCTACGCGATTATGTAGTTATTCCCCCATCGAAGAGAGGCTGTCGAAGTGCAACCAGTCGGAAATGCCTTCGTGGTTGCGTCACTTGTAAGGAATTCACGCACCGTTGTGCCCTCGAAGCGTTTTCTCCTTCTACGTTCGTGATCCTTTTTTCTTTTTTTTTTTTCCTTCTTCATCTTCTTCTTCCCTCTATCTCTTCCTCTTCACCCTTCACCCTTCTCTCGCTCTCTCTCTCTCTTTCCCTTCTCATTCCATTCTACGTCCTTAACGTCTTGAAAATATTCTTATTCGAAGGTTACGGCTCTCTTATGAGAACTTCGCTTTTTCTTCTTCTTCTTTATCATCATCATCATCATCATTATCATTTCCCTTGTATATCATCATTTTTAAATAATTAGAAATGCAATAGAATATGATACGTATGACAATCATCTTTGAATATATTCCACTCTCTTTCTCACTCTCTGTCTCTCTCTCTCTGTCACGAGAGAGAATGGATAATGACATGACCGTATATCGTCGTTATATATACATATATAACCTTGAAAACGTTGCGAATGACTTTCTCAAGGTCGCACACGATATACACACTCTTCTCCTCCCCCCCTCCCCCCCTCATTGTTCTATATTTTTTCTCTTTTTTTCTCCATTGTAAGGGATAACATAATGTTTATGTATATTGAAATGAATAATCACGATTAAATCGTGAACGGGCGAGTGGCGGGGGTGGAAGGGGGCATGGTATAAAATAATACGTCATTGAAAGCTCGTAATAATTATCTTGTCGAAATAACAGAATGAGTGTCTAACAAAAAAGAAATAAAAAAAAAAAAAAAACAGCTATCATTATCTCGATTGACTAACGAGGTGTGATATATTAGAAATCGCTTTTTATGTTTTCTTTCTTTCCCTCTTTTGTTGGTCTTGTTTCGTTTTTTAAGCGAACGAAATACCAGTTTTATTATTTCGTTTGATATTTATTAGATAGTTATTACTCTAAATTAAAAATCTTAGACGTTCTCATTCATCGATATTCATCCTGATAATAAACAATATATACATATAAGTATATAAATATTTGTTTGATTTAAAAAAAAAAAAGAAAAGAAAGAAAAAAAGAAAAATCACAAATCAAAAAGTTTCTTCTTCTCGCATGGCATCAAACATCGATAATAATTACAACATGGCATGTGCTGCACGATGGTTGGTACGTGAACGGAGTAAATGAAGAGTTACCACGTGTATCTCTGTCTATATGTATATATATATATACATATATATATATATGCATTATGCTCGGTGAAGCTAATCGATCATCGACGGTGAAAACTAGGCGATTATATGGCCTTGAGGTGTAAAACGGGTATCGATTTCGTCAGACACTTTACCGTCTCTCCCACGTATCACAAAAGAACCGATACATCGATGGATCTTTTTACAACTTATTATTATACGAGAGAGATTTGAAACGAGTTAAACGCAATTATACATATTTTGCGATATAACTGAACGAAATGAAAATCATTAATAATTCTGAGGGTTGAGACTGGTGGAGGGGCGGGGGGGTGAGGGGAGGGAGGTTGTATGTAAAGAAAAGAAAAATAAAAAAAGAAAGAAAAAATGAAATTCATGCCTCCCTAAACTCTTAATTGAATTTGAACATGATATGTCTCTAGAACGTACATACACATTTACACTTGCATATATATATATATATATATATATATATATATATATAAATTTCAAGAGTATCAAAAACTTTTATATTAATATATAATAATTCGTGAATATTAAATTATAATATACGTAATCGTTTGACAAGCGCATCAATATCGATTACGAGATGTATGTATGTATATAGATACGTATATACCTACGTGTGCTCGTTTTATTTTTTTTTCCTTCTTCTTCTTCTTCTTCTTCTTTTTATTTTATAAAGGTCAACTTCGAAGAAAACGCATTTGCTTTTTCTCACGCGTATTTGTCCTTGGAGAAAGAAGCCTTGGTTCAATGTCCTACATACACAAATGTGTACAGTGTTTCGAACAAAGACGGACAAGGCCGTGACGTGGCCCTCGAAATTTCCCAAATTATATACTTACTTAAATTAAGAGAAAGAAAGAGAGAGAGAGAGAGAGAGAGAGAGAGAGAGAGAGAGGGAGAGAGAGAAAGAAAGAGGAGAAAAAGAGGGTAGAGGAAAAGAGAATGAGTGAGAACTCTGGGGATCCTCTCTCGGTACTTAAGCTTTTTGGTGTCGTTCACCTCCCTCTCTCTCTCTCTCTCTCTCTCTCTCTCTCTCTCTCTCTCCCTCTCTCTTTCTCTCTTTATATCGTGACTCTCTCTACAGCATCTCGTGTTGGCCTTTGTTCTCGCTTCGGTGCTAAAAACGGCCAACCAAAGTGTACCGCACTCTCTCTCTCTTTCTCTCTGCCCTTATCACCAAACAGTTTATCGTCCACTCACGGATAACTTCAAAGTATAGTCGTTTAATACGTTTGTCTCTTTCTTTCTTTTTCCCCCTCTTTCTCTCTATCTATCTCTCTCTCTTTCTCGTTTTCTCTCTCGAAACAAATCTTGTAAGAAATAGTACGAACATAGTATTGAAAAATATTTACAAGAGAGAAAGAAAGAGAAAGAAAGAGAGAGAGAGTGAGAGAACGATTGGAGTTTTGTTATTCATCCTTGTGTTATCATTATTTTAACATTCCATTGTTCGAACGAATATATATATATATATATTTTGTAGTAAATATTGTAGTAAATATTATAGTAAATATTTTAGTAAATATTGCATACAATTTTATTCTATATAATTAATATAATTAAGTATCGGCATATAAAAATATCTACTTATAAATGATGATATATAATTGTCGGTAAAAAAAAAAAAAAGAGAAGGAAAGAAATAAGAAAATAATTCCAATACAAAGCAATCGTAATAATGACGAGCAAGAAAAATGAAAGGAAAGATTCTAAGGATATGAGAATCAACATATATTTATATGTATATATATATATCTTGGTTTGATATCGATTTTAATATATACATTAATCAATGATTAATCGTTTATTATAATCATCAACTATAATTATCTTCTGTACGAAACATATATATACATATATTTTTTTTTTCTTATTTATCGAAAGCTTCTCTCTTCTTAATACATTGTATTGTTGGTAATGTGTTAAAAAAAAAAATAAATAAATAAATATAAAAATGAAAAATAAAAAGAGACGGCGTGCGACCGACAACGTTGCACTGTTCACAGTGATAATCATTAATCGAGCCTCGGGAAAGGGCAGACTCTCCAATTAAGAGAAGAGCTTCAGATATGTACATACATATATACGTATGTATATAAATATGCTCTGAGTAGTCTAACGCGAGTAAATGATTTAAATGAGACCTGAAAGAGTATAATCTTGTGCTGTATGTCTATGTGTGCATGTGTGTGTGTGTGTGTATTTAATTCGCGAACCGAATCGAACCGAATCAAGCAATGTGATGTGACTTTTTTTTACAGATTTATGTATATATATATATGTATGTATGTATGTATGTATGTACGGGTACGACATATATACGTACTACACGTTCGTTTGTACTATTTTTATTTTTACTTTTTTTTTTCTATGTATATTATGAATAAACAAAATTCATAGAAGAGAAAGGACATTGAAATGATTTCTTAGAAAATCTTTTTATATTCGTTAAGAGACTTATAAGAGAGTTCTACCACGTGCTCAAATGATGACTGGCAATTTTGCAGGATGTGCTCAATAGTAATTCGTAGAATTCATGTTAGATATGCCTCTCTCTCTATCTCTTGCGATTTCTATCTCTCTCTCTCTCTCTCTCTCTCTCTTTGTCTCTCTTTCGTGATCTTTGTCGCGTACCATTTCATTCAGGAAAAAGGAACTTTACTGTTCATGACGCAATACGACACACAACACACACTTGACTTTAACTTTCCGCGTACTAATGATTCCATGGATTCCACTGATGAATCATCGATCGGTCGATGATTGGTTAATTCGATCGGCGTCTCTTTCTTTAGTCTTTTTTTACTCCTCCATCTTCTCATATATATCCTCTCATCCTTCTTATATATATATATATATATATATATATATATATATATATCTACGTTTTATATATATCCTATTATCTCATTTTAATTACGAAAAACCAATTGGAAACTTATGATTATATATATATATTTTTTTTAACGAATTATGAAATAAAACTCGATTTATGAATAAATGAGGTTAGGTTTTTTCCTTCACGATCGACGACTCTTATTGCATGCTTACGAAAGTTTATTGACGACGAAATTCTTGACGGATTAATTGAAAAGGAAAAAAAGTGTAGAAAGAAAAACAAGAAAAAAGAATAGGAGATATTAGATATATAATAATAAATATTAAATACTAAATATACAACGCATATGCACGCATTGTGTATACATACACGTGTAGTATTTCTCACTCTCTCTCTATCTTTTTCTCAATGTGTATATAATGTGCATGTAATTAATCGCATTCGATCGTATCGATTTTCAAAAAATGTGCTCTTTTATCTCCCTCTCTCTTTCCCTTTGTTTTTGTCTCTCTTAGATTCGAATGAAGTCATCCTTTATACCTCCTAAGTCGTCGTTGTCGTCGCGTAGTAGTAGTAGTGTAGTAGTAGTAGAGTAGTAGTAGTTTCGTCTCCTTCCTTCTCAATTCCCTTTCAGCACGATCTCTTCTTTTTCTCAACGAACGTATTTCTACATCCTTACCCTTGCCCCTCTGAAGATCCACTGAGATGAAGAGAAGAGCAACAGGGACGGCGAACGTCGTCATCGCCGCGTTGCCGTTGTCGTTGTGTCGTAGTTGTCGTCACGAAGTCCTCTCGAGAAAGGAAAATCGAAGTTAGCCGAGCGTAGTCGAAGATGGCCGAGAACGTAGCGACCATGTGGTGATAGCGCGATGATGACAGAACGCTGTCAGTGTCAGTGCGACTATCGTCGAGTACGGTTCTCGGTTTTTTTGTCGCGTATTTAATTCGTAATATATCTATCTTCTTCATTCTTCTATTTTCTTTCCTGTTTTATTTATTTATTTATTTTTTTTTTTTTAATATATATATATATATATAATGCGTTCGCGTTACAATTCATAATAGTTTCTTTTTATGTATATATATATATTAACTCATTACGTATATACGTATATGTATATGTATGCATTTTCTTACTTATCTCTTATACACTTAACTCGGTACGTACTTGCATATTTTTTTTACATTAACCTTTTTTATTTCCCCTCTTGAAATAGAATCGATTATCGTCGATCAGTAAAATGTTTATGTAAAATAGATATAAGGAAATAGAAAATAGAATACTTTTAATGTATTTCTAGAAAATAGAATGCGTTTGAATGTATTTCTTTCTCTCTCTCTATCTCTCTCTCTCTCTCTCTCTCTCTCTCTCTCTCTCTCTCTCTCTCTCTCTCTCTCTCTCTCTCTCTCTCTCTCTCTCTCTCTCTATCTCTCTCTCTCTCTCTCTCTCTATCTCTCTATCTATCTCTATCTCTCTCTTTCGACGCGGTGCATATACAGCATACAGAGAAAACGAGATTAGAAGATCGCTCGAGGTCACTACGAGTGAGCATGGCTCAAATATACGACGTTTTGCCTCTTTTAACCGACACGAGGTCGACGTGAAACACTATTACCCACTGTGTGCGCATGTTTCGTGCTTATATATGGTCTATGTATATGTGTTCATGAGTGTGTTGTGTGTGTATGTGTGTGTTATATGTGTATGTGTGTGTACGTTTCTCCCTTCTACCACCACCACCCCCCCTCTCTCTCTCCTATCTCTGTCTCTGTCTCTGTTTCGAGGTAAGTCAGTTTACTTCAAAAACGTTTCCATTTTTGGAAGTTATTCCTGCGGACCGAAAGTAGAAAACCTTTTCTTCTTTTTTTCTTTTTCTTTTTCTTTTTCTTTTTTTCTCCCTTTCTTTTTCTCGTTCTCTTTAATATCAACGATTAATATCTTTCAATTTAAATTACTTATAAAAAAATCCTCTCGTTTTTTTCGTACATATATTATATGATAGTAATTTAAATGACCTTTTTGTTTTTATTCCTTCCCTCTCCCTCATTTCTTCCTTCCCCCTTTATCTCGTTTAGCATACATACATACATGAATACATACATACGTATCTTTTTCAATGAATTCAATGTTTTCCTTAGCCTTTGGTTTTTCCCGTGTCGCGTGTATTCAGAATTATTAGAGATATACCATCAACTATATGTTCATGTATAACCATACGACGTTTCTATCGTACTATTTTAATAAACGACGTATTTATCTATTTATCTATATATATATACATAAATACACGCACAAACACGACGTATCTATATTTTTTTTCTCTCTTTTTCCTTTATACTCCTTTTTTTTCATGTTTAGCACATAAAAATTCGAGGCCATCACCCTCTACCCTTCATTTCTCACCCTACTACAATTTTTCCCTATCTACCCCTAACCTCGTCCCACTTCATCACGCTTATCGATCAATATTTTAGTTTCTCCCCTAATCCCTCACTCTCTCTCACTCTCTCTTTCTCTCTTTTTATTTTACGTATTCTACGAACGATAAAAGAGTGTACGCTTCAAGCAAACACCACGATGGTTTCTTTATTCGCTTAGTTGGTGTACCATTAAGAAGTTTACGAAAAAAAACAAGCGAGAATTAATGTAGGGTTGTAATATGTATATATAATATATATATATTGTGTTGGCAACTAAGTCATTGCGGAAACCAAATCCGCAATCACTTAGTTGCCAAAACAATATGGCGTTGGCAACTAAGTCATTGCGGATATGGTCACCGCAACGACTTAGTTGCCAAAATAATATGGCGCTGGCAACTAAGTGATTGCGGGGTTGGCAACTAAGTGATTGCGGAGTTGGCAACTAAGTGATTGCTGGATTGGCAACTAAGTGATTGCGGATATGGTCACCGCAACGACTTAGTTGCCAACGGGATAGTGTCTTGGCAACTAAGTGATTGCGGATATGGTCACCGCAACGACTTAGTTGCCAACGGGATATTGTCTTGGCAACTAAGTCGTTGCGGTGACCATATCCGCAATGACTTAGTTGCCAAGACACTATCCCGTTGGCAACTAAGTCGTTGCGGTGACCATATCCGCAATCACTTAGTTGCCAATCCCGCAATCACTTAGTTGCCAACCCCGCAATCACTTAGTTGCCAATCCCGCAATCACTTAGTTGCCAATCCCGCAATCACTTAGTTGCCAATCCCGCAATCACTTAGTTGCCAACGCCATATTGTTTTGGCAACTAAGTCGTTGCGGTGACCATATCCGCAATGACTTAGTTGCCAACGCCATATTGTTTTGGCAACTAAGTCGTTGCGGTGACCATATCCGCAATGACTTAGTTGCCAACGCCATATTGTTTTGGCAACTAAGTCGTTGCGGTGACCATATACGCAATCACTTAGTTGCCAACGCCATATTGTTTTGGCAACTAAGTCGTTACGGTGACCATATACGCAATCATTTAGTTGCCAACGCCATATTGTTTTGGCAACTAAGTGATTGCGGATTTTGTTGATAGACTCCGCAATTACTTATTTGCCAATCCAATATATTTGCAAGTTCATGTTAGATCGCCAATGTATATTAATTATGGACAGTCGAATTTATTCTTTATTTCGATGATTAACAATGTTTCTCTCTCTCATTTTATACGATTATATTTCGATAGAAATCATTTCAATGAAATATATTTCAATGAAAAGCGATGCTTATTATGCGTTCCTCGATCGAAATATGCATTGAGAGAGAAGATAGTGACAGAGAGAGAGAGAGAGAGAGAGAGAGAGAGAGAGAGAGAGAGAGAGAAAGAGAGAGAGAGAGAGAACGATGAACAGAAGCTGTAATAGATGGTGGTATATTATGACGACGCATCGTTTCGTTATCATGTTTACATTCTTTGTTCCCACCTCGGCTTGGAAACGAGATGGAAAGGCTCTTACTGTATATATATATATATATATATATATATATATATATCTTTCTCTCTCTCTCTCTCTCTCTCTCTCTCTCTCTCTCTCTCTCTCTCTCTCTCTTTGTGTACAAGGGTGTATATATGCGTGTGTATGTGTGCGTATATGTGTATGTGTGTGTATGGTTAGTCTTGTCTCTCTTTCTGTATGTATTTATGCATTTTCTGCGCAGAAAAGCATGCATAGAAAATAGGAATAGTAGTGTCGTTACGGTTAGACGAAGATAAAGATAAAGAAAAAATAAAAAAGAAGAAGAAAACTAGGAATGAGACGATTTGTCTTTACTGCATTTATAACGTGTCTGTATTTATCTATCTATCTATGTGTATCTCTGTATGAGTGAATAAGAGAGAGAGAGAAAGAGAAAGAGAGAGATCGACTCCTTTGTTATCCAAGGCTACGCTTATTGTGTTCGTACTCGGCCATAACTTTTTTCCAACACGCGATAGTAATTTTCGCACGCGGACGTAATCGAGTCATTTGTCGCATCGCGTTCGCCATTTCCTTCTTCTTGTGTTTAAGGGTGTGTATGCTATGTATATATGTGTGTGCGTGTATGTGGGTGTATGTATGATGTATATATGTGTTGTGTGTGTGTGTAAGCGCACGAAAAAATAAATATATGTATGTATATGATTGCTTATGCTCAAATACATACGACGTTGTCTTTTTTGCCTCTTTTTTTTTTTCCTTTTTTTTTCCTTTTTTTTTTCTTTTTTTTTTTTCTTTTTTTTCTTTTTTTCTCTTTTTTCTCTTTTCTTTTTCTCTTTTTTCTCTTTTCTTTTCTTTTTTTTCCCTCCCCATTAAAAGAAGATCTATTCTAATGCGAGTTCTAAGTGCATATAAATGCATCCGATGCACGCGAATCTATTAGCACATACGTCATCTTTCATCTCATTATTTCATGTTACATCGGTTTTGTTTATAATACATCTTACATAGGTTTCATCCATTATAAAATTATTTCGTTAAAAATTGTATAGTTGTTAAATATTTTCAAGGAGACGAAAAAATAAAATTTCTTTTTCTTTCTTTTTTTTTTCTTTTTTTTTTTTTTATATTTCGTTTAAGGAAAACTCTTCTGTAATTTAATCTTTTGTCGTTTTAATTCGTCTTCTTTTTATATTTATGTATTTATGTATATATGTATGGTTCTGTGTGACTCGAAATTCTAATTTCGAGTATGACTCTTTAAGATCAATGACTCGTTTCTTTCTTTCTTTTTTTTTTTTCGATTAACTTCTCCATAGATTTTCTTTTTATATTCTATTGTATTCTATATTTATTTATTTATTTATTTATGTATATTTTTTTTTATATTGATTTCGATTAAAATATTAAACTTGATAATGAGAAAATAAGTAAATAGAAATATATGTATTGATATATTTCTAATATAAGTATTTTATAAATATTATATATATATATATATATATATATATAGAGAGAGAGAGAGAGAGGGAGAGAGAGAGAATAAATAATAGTAATATAAATAGAATTATATATATATATTATGAAAGAAAAAACATTAATTTCAGGATGATTAGAGATTTAATTAAGCCGATAAAAGATTTTCTCTTACTACCCACTTAAACTCCGACGAATCCGAAGTTTACGAACACAAACGAACAGGAAACGCTTTGAACATGCTTCGAAAATAGACTAACCAGATAAAAATACACCGTCGTACCGTAGAAATATAAATCGAACGATCTAATTTCGTCGCATGATTATACGCAAGAGAATATGCGAGAGGATATACGCGTACACACACAATCCCTCTCTCTCTCTCTCTCTCTTACACACACACGTACAGCAAATAACGAACTATTATTTTCTCGACATATATACATACATACATACACACATACATACACACATACATACATATAATACTTATATTATCTCTACTTTATATTGAATCTCAAAGGAAAGTAGACAAAGGAATTTTTCCATCCTGTGATCGACTTAATGCAAATATAAATAATACAAACACTCACACGTAACACATACACACTCACACATAGAGAGAGAAGGAGAGAGAGAGATAAACATACGCTGTCAGATTTTTCTTTGCTCTGATACACGATTCTCACGGACTTTCGTAAATGCGATTTCTCGACCGTAAAGATCAAAGTTCGCGAAAGGACCCGAGGGAAGGACAAAAGATCGGATGATGCAGTGTCCCCACTACCCCAACTTATCTACCTACCCACCCTCTCTCTCTCTCTCTCTCTCTCTCTCTCTCTCTCTCTCTCTCTCTCTCTCTCTCTCTCTCTCTCTCTCTCTCTCTCTCTCTCTCTCTTTTACTCTTGGACTTTGTTCTAGTAATTTCGAGCGGACTTGTCGATTCTACGCAGCACGATATATCGCAAACACGTCGTGATCGGCATAATTTCACTTCACGAAGAGTAGAATCCCCTCCCCTCCCCCTCGTGCCCCGTTCGCCTTCTTTTTCTTGTTTTTTTTTTACGACCTCCTGCACGTCTCTCTCTCTCTCTCTCTCTCTCTTTCTCTTTCTCATAATCTATGCGTACGTGTGCGTATACACGTCGATTGTATTTCGAAACATTTATGGCCGTGAATGGAAGAAAACAAATCCGGTTATGCGAATTCAACGCGATATATAATAGTACTTTTTCTAAAGGAACGATATTTATTTTTATTATCCTTTTTTTTTGTTTTGTCTTCTTTTTCTTTTCCTTCCTTTTTCATCCTTTTTTTCGTAACGCACATGTTCTTTTTCTCCCCTCCCATTACTTTTCTTTCCCCCTCCTCCCCTTCCATCCCCACCTCTATGTTCACGTAATAATCATAACAAGAATAATAAGATTCATAATAATAATTAAAATTAATAATAACATTAATAATAACTAATAATAATAATAATTAATAATAATAATAATACACTTAGTAAT